GCAGTAGTAGAAGCGGGGAGCATGCTGTCATCTCGAGCCCCACTAAACAGGGGTTGCAGCTCAGGCCGCTGCCGCCACAACGTATCCGCCACAGAAAGAACCTCATGCACTCCCGAAGTAGACAAAATGGCTCGTGATGGGCATTTCATGTAAAAAAATCGGGAGAATCACCGCGGCGCCCTCCTATGCGCGTATCACTAGCAAGGTCCCAGTCTCGTGAGCGACGAGCGAAAGCATCATGAGCCGGCATCCCGCAGGTAATCGCCAATAAGGGCGAAGTCTAAATTCTCGTGGGTGGTGAGACCTAACAACGAGCAACGTGGTGGTCGTGAGCAAAGCGTGCCTCGGCGCACGAAAAGGGAAGAATCGCGTCCAATTCTCTCTTACCGTGCCTGCCAGATTGACGCCAAGTTTAAAGGAATGCCCGCCCGACGGTGGCTTGCCTCCTAGATGTAGTAGATGTAGATTCTGCCGTAGACACTCTTGTCCACGAGCACGTTGAGATGGGAAGGTTGCTTGTTATTGCAGAAGCGGGTCTGCTACAGGTCTGAGGTGAGGCGGATTGCCCTCAACCTGGGGGCACGCAGATAGCTAAGTCCCGATGGGGTACGTCCTAAGAGGGTATACCTCCTGACGTCCCCCATCTTAATCTAGACCGACTGTGTACCCTATCTGTGCCATACAGCAACACTCCTTAACAAGCTGCTGTTTGGCTTGAACTAACTCTAGACAAACCAAGTAAGGTTGACAAGTTTTTGTTGCCGTACATGTAGTGTGTTTGATTTTCGTACGCGCCTATAAATATATATTGTAGACTATTCAATGAGTTCAAGATTTTAAATCCTGTAGGATTTACTTATTTGACAATACCCGATGTAGGCTGAACTGCTCTGCTTTGGTGGTGCAAGTCTGGGTCGAGGCGATGACACACCGCGGTAGACTTAGCGATGCCAGACTACACGGGCGATGGTGCGCGGGAGACAAGTTTCCTCCACGACGAGTGCATCACAAAACCGGGACAACTTTGTGTGAAGGAAGCCATTGTCCGTTCAAAGTACAAAAAAAAAATCGAATGTTGTGCAACGCGTTGGAAAGGTTACTACACTGCTGGGACTCCAGCCAGATAGCCCGAAGCCAGGTAGGTGAAGCCCATGAAAACAAAGGAGGGAGGAGCAATCAATTAGAGCAAACGGTGCGACCAGCCTCTTCAAACAAGGTAAGTTACGGCGAACGATACTGCCCCGCCCTGCCTCCTCAATAGTGAGCGCTACTTGTAAAAGTTGACATGGTGCGGTACCCGATGCTTCCAGTAAAAACTGTCGTAGTCTATCCTCACCTTTGTACCCTCCCTCTCTTACTCCAGACGGAGTGGGTCCAGTTCCCTTTACCTACCGTTGGCTGGCAGATCAGCAGGGTATATGAACACTGTTGATGCGTAGCTTGAAGACCGATAGACAGACAGATCGACGGCACACGAGCGGGGATAGGGCAGTGTGTGAGCAGTGATAGAGGGCGAGGGTAAAGAGAGGGCTTCGTGTGCGTGCAAGGGAACAACAAGTGGGGAGGAGGGGCGTCAGGGAAGAGTTGACTTTTTTCTCTTGCTGCAACGATCAACTCTCCGTACAAATAGAGAGGAGCAGACATCAATCATCTTAACTAGATAAGCCAAACATACCCGCCGTGAAACGACCAGCAACAGACCAGGTAGGGTGCGAACATATCGCCGCGATTCTTGGAGAGATAGCAGTGACGGCAGACTGTGGTCAAGCTGCTGGCCCTGGATACGGCCACCCAAGTTGCTTGGGAAAAAGTGGAAGGGACGGTCTGCAGCACATGCAGCAATATTTGGATGTTTGGTACACGTGTATATCATGTACATAGTGTTCTCGAACGAACGCGAGAAGGAAATAAGAAATGTCCTTGTTGATCGGTGGTGCGATGGGGGAAGCTCGTCCAGTGAATACGCACAGCTAGTGGGGTGGCTTGAGCAAAGCAGATCGGGAGCCGAAGAGAGGAGAACGTCGCGCGCCAGCGCCAAGCCGTTTATGAGAATAACGCGCGGTGAGTGTGTTGGGCGTTCATCGTTCTCTTCAAGTCTGCCGATGTCATGTAACAGCCCACTTCCAAGTTCCAAAAAGGCAGCAAATATCGTTGGTTGAGGGTTTAATGATGGATACATAACGCTGTTGCGACTAGCTGCTCAGCAGGTCACGGGAAACCCAACGATCGGGCTCCCCCATCACCGCACCTGACACGGAGCGAGGGGATGGCGCGCCTTACGCGAGGTAGAATCCGCTACGAGTGGTATGATGAGTGCATGCAGGTTCTACTGCTTGCCGTGTTGTGCGCGCTAGCTGAAGAGGAGGACATGTTCCTCGTGATGGCCACGTTTGGCGTAGCAAAGCTGGAGACATGTTAAATGTTTCCTCTCGACTCCCGAGAACTACACTCCGCGAACTACACTCCCCAAATCCCAACCGCCGCCAGCGGCTTCGCGCCCCTCGTACGTGCGCCCAGAGCTACCGTCTCTTCCACCAACAACTGCTGTAACCTCTCCCTTCACGGGCGGGGCACCCGACTAGCTGCTGTTGTGGTTATCTCCCGTGTGCTTCGAGTCCAGAGTCCAGACAGACCAACCTCGGCATGTTTTGTTCTCGATCCCGCGATGAACGCACACGATCCTAACCGCGGCTTGACGTTCCCCTAACGCGATGTACTCCCGGGAGCGTTGTGTTCACGTGTGTGGGTGTGCGGGCAGCTGCGTGCGTGCGTGCCGACTGAGTTGATGCCTTCGTGTGTGTGCGATGGCGCTCGTGTCAATTTGTCGTTTTCTCGTGTCAAATTGCCTCAGGTGAAAATATTTTGACCACGTTTTTGAAAAATTCTGACCTGTGATTCTGACATGAAAAAATGCGGCGTAACCTCTCGTGTCACAATTCTGACGTCTCGTCTCGTGTCAAAATTCTGGTCTCGTGTCAAAATTTCGTGCTCGTGTCAAAATTCCTGACACACGTGGGACCCGTGTAATTGTTCCGATTCTTGTGTGTGCACAGATGCAGGTCAGACTCGAAATTTGTCGCAGTCTTCTCTGCGACGTCGCTAGTGTGGCGGTTCTACACCCTGGTCCTGCAGATCAAGATCAACCGCAGAAACAGAAATAGCAGTGCAGCAGCTACGGTAGACCGACCCCAATTTTCGTGTCCTCCTGTTGCTTCGATTGCAAAACAACTGCTGTGCTCTAGTCTAGTGACCGAGCTTGCAAGGGGGGAGCTTGAAGTTGTAGTACCCACACAGGTTTGTGTGGCTGGAGCATTGTACTATCCCTGGATGATTTATACAACAGGAAACACGCGTTTGACGAGCACAAGAAAGCAGCTCATATGTAGCACAGCGCCCCGCCATCTCGTTAGGATTAGACCATAAAAGGAACAACGAAACAACGAACAAACACACCGCTTGCTTCTTGGTGCTGCTGTGCATCATTCCGAAATCGGAGGTGCGGTTGTTTAGTTGTCCATCGCGTCCCATCAATTCAGTTTTTAGAGCTTGTGTCAGGATAAGAAGCATCCGTTACAGCCGAGATCGGGAAATACGCCCTTGGAGCCTAGTCTATACATGAGGCCTGTGGAGCTATCGAGTGGGTGGTTGACTCCGCCGATGGGACGCAGGTTTTTCACGAAAGTCACCACAATCCTCCTCCGCTGTGCTCAGAAGGCGTAACTTGCCAACACGAATAGAGATTTATCTCCTTTGAATCTACTCACCTTCCCTGCAGGCACATGAGCGCTGGAAGTTGGCGCCCGAAGCGTGTATCTTGTGTGTCATCATAAGCTCTCAATGTGGGCGCGATACCCGCGCTGTCGTCGCCTGGACGCGGCGGAAAAGTACAGCATGGTAGTCCCCGACGAGCAATGTATGACCGCGAAGAACCCTGTTCTTCTTGATGGTGACGTTGGTTGACGTCATCTCACCCAATGATTTGTTGGATTCTACCCAGCCAAATACCAAGGGATGGGTTGAAGCCTCTTCGGCAGCGAGGGTCGAGGGATGACGGCTGGATATTGGACTCCTTTGAGTCTGGCTACGTACGGAGAGAGCAGTGATGCCAGCAACCTCTTGGCTTTGCTCTCTTGTCTACCACCTTCAGTGCACATCGTGAGAAAAAGAAAAAAAGCCTGTTTTGTGTCGGCGATGTGGACAGGGATACAGCAGTCAGTACACTCCACCGGGCGGTCGCATATAGCTAGCGACTTTCACGTGGTTTATGCCCTAACCACCTAACGCCGTAGCTTATTCTCGAAAGATGCAGGCATCCGCGCTGGGTGGCGGCGGCCGAAAACCAGTTCTACGCCAATCCTTTCCGGCACAGAAAAGTAGGGTGGCCCTACAAGTAGTCGTTGTCCGCGTTTGTTTGTTCTTCAATGAGGAGTGCAAAATCGGGTACACCCGGCCCCAATCCGGCCATTATCGGGCACCTTGTTTTTCACAGTCGGCAGCGCCCTCCTGGCGCCATCTGATTGGCCGACGCCCGCCCCTACCCGGCCCTGACCCTATTCCCACCGGGTGCACCCGATCTTGGCTACTCACAGGCCGGAGGGGTACCCGATCTTACTCTCGCCTGCCCGAAAATGGCTGGGCTATTCGACCAACAGACCACTAGCAGACCACGCTCACGAACCCACGTCACGAACACCCCGCACTCGAGTTCCGACGCTTGCGACGGCGGGCGGAGGCGGACCTAACACGGCTAACGCGGCGAAACTCTCGTTTGAAGTGGATCTCTCTCCTGCAAGACTCCTCCTGCAACCCACCGCCGACGGCGGAACTCTCTCGGTTCTCGTTTCTTGTCGGAGAGGGAGGAGAGAGAGAGCCAGGCGGGCGGCGGTGGATGAATACCTCTCAATACCTCACGTGATCACTTGAGCTGCACACAAACACATGACGCAGCTCAGATATGTCCACGGAAGCATCAGGCACAGAAGCATCAGGGTGTCGCTTTCGTCTGGAATACATGTATAGACACATCAAGACCGGAGATGTATGGCACGTTGTTGTGTACGCAGAGGGTCGTTCGTAAACAGCAATGCAGCAGCTGCAAGCAGTGGATGCCGTGGTTATGTCTAGTTCAAGACCGAAGATATANAACAGCAATGCAGCAGCTGCAAGCAGTGGATGCCGTGGTTATGTCTAGTTCAAGACCGAAGATATATGACACATGTTGTGTAGGAAGAGGATCGTACAGTAATGCAGCAGCAGCAAGCAGTGGATGCCGTGGGACCTCAGATTAAACAGCGATAATACTTCCTTGACTTTGACCTCTCGTGAGTACGTGGGAGAGACAAGGAACGGCGGGCTTGCAAAAGGAGATGGGGAAAGATAGAGAGAGTGATAGTACACGCAGCACGAACCTGTCCAAAGATGGCTAATGGTGAAGTAGTACGCGCCTTGCGCGAGGACCGCGGTGTTCTCTACTTCATCGCTCATATTCTTCCGATGCCAGTCTACCGTTCAGGCACGAGTGCCGAGATTAACCACGAGAGACTTGGTGGGTTGAGGAGCGAGATCTACTTGCAGGAGCGAGATCTACTTGCAGGAGCGAGATCTACTTCAAACGAGAGTTCCGCCGCGTTGCAGGAGAGAGATTCACTGATCCACTTCAAACGAGAGTTCCGCCGCGTTAGCCGCGTTAGGTCCGCCTCCGCCCGCCGTCGCAAGCGTCGGAACTCGAGTGCGGGGTGTTCGTGACGTGGGTTCGTGAGCGTGGTCTGCTAGTGGTCTGTTGGTCGAATAGCCCAGCCATTTTCGGGCAGGCGAGAGTAAGATCGGGTACCCCTCCGGCCTGTGAGTAGCCAAGATCGGGTGCACCCGGTGGGAATAGGGTCAGGGCCGGGTAGGGGCGGGCGTCGGCCAATCAGATGGCGCCAGGAGGGCGCTGCCGACTGTGAAAAACAAGTGCACCAGATAATGGCCGGATTGGGGCCGGGTGTACCCGATTTTGGCCACTCTTTCTCAAACATAGCCGTTCGTTTGTCACGTTCCTGAAAAAAAATGCCTCTTTCGAAACGAGCGTAAACAGTATCCCTCGTGCTGGTACATGACAACGTCCTCAAGGCGACATATTGCCGTCCACGATGAAAAAGGGCTCGATGTCGACGGTTCCGAGCACACGCTGCATTCATTCCCTCTTGTGCGTTTTCGAGACACATTCGCGCGGGGAGCGGTTGCATTGCGGTATCTGCTGTCTCCATAACTAGCACCACTACGGCGATTCACATCGCGCCGCGCCGCTCTCGAAGGTGTCACGTTCTTCTGCCCTTGGCGCGAGGGCAAGTGAGTGACCAACAACGAGGCTGCCAACAACGCAACGGCCTCACCGTGCCCATATCCCTGTCGGGGGTGTTTGCCGACCCCCCAAGGTTCCGAACGAATTCTGCCTACTCTGTGGCGTGGCTTTAACGGTAGAAGAACGCCATACCAGCAATGAGAGAGTGAAATACGACAGCCTTGGCAGTAGCACGAGACATTCGGATGTTGATGACATGTTTCCGTCCGGAGACGGGGTCTGCGGCCGACCTGCATCACGAATATGTGAAGGCGCGAGCTGACAGTAACAGGGAACGAGCATAACCAACGCCCCCCCCGGGGAGAGCTACCGGTATATCCGAACAAACACGGCAAACAAAGGAGTACATAAAACAGTGAATAAAGTAAGTAGTGAAAGTAAACATCCACAGCTTTTTCGGTCTTGTTCGCGACATGCGGTCGGCGACCAATCAATCCTGAACACCCCAACAGCGTATGTTTTCCCCCACAACTTCAAAACGTCACAGTAAGCAGGTATCGCGACACGCCTTCTTGTCACCAGCCCACCACAACGACCAACACTCGACCACACTGCATCCACAGTCCACCAAGCGCAACTATTCTTCATCTCTCTCGAAACATGCGAGAAATCATGCTCTTGCCCCGGCGATACCTCCCCCTGGCCCTCCGGCCGTCGAAGTCTACCCCCCTGTACTTGGCGAGAAGGTGTCGAAATGCCCCTAGGTGGAAGGCCGCGTCGCGCGCTGCTGAGGGCCCCGACTGCTTCAGCAGGCTCGGCAGTTCCTCCTGGCGCCGTTTTCCCTGCCGGACGTACATGTTCATTCATAAGGGTTAGGGCCGTGTAGAACTGACACTTCAGTGTATTGGGTGTGCTTTGTTTCTGGTACTTGTATTTCATAATTATCAGTATTGGGGCCGCAAAATAACAAAACTTTCTTTGTGAACTAAGAGAGCAAAAATAATCTGGGCAGAAAAAGGGATGTCAAGGAGGAGCTACATACCCATGGATATTCCAAAACGCCTTCCATGCTGACAAAATTCACCTGACTGCTACATCCGTGCGGGCGGTGATACGAAGAGAGGTGCGGGCGCCGGAGGGGAGAGATAGCAACTGATCCTGGTACAGAGGCGCCGCTCATTCTCACGAAAACTTCCTTCAAGACTGGTCTCCGGACACCGATCGGGAAGACATCAACTCCAACAATATACGACAAAAAAACAAACCCCGAACGGCGTCAAACCAGAAGAGTCTCGCGCAAAGGACGCTTGAGAGTTCACTTTTCTGGGACAGGCAGCAGGAGTGAAAAGGCCCTTTGGGTACGTTCATCAAGAACTCATCGGATCAGCGGAAAACATTTGTAGCCTGACAGACCCAAAAACAGCAGGAAAGGTGAAACAAACAACGAAACACTTTCTACCAAGAAGCCCAGTGAAATGGTACAGCCGATATCTCAAAAATGCCTCTTGATTGCACCGATCAACCAATCGTTCCGCGAGAAAACTTTTCAGGACACAAAACAAGTGGTTAGTTGAGCTTACCTCAGCCGCCATGTCGGCCACCAGGTCGTCCGCTCGGTGCTCCAGACGGCAGACGGCCCACAGCAAGGTTTCCAATTCCTACGCGGGCGTTTGGGGGCGTGCACGGGGGTGGCGTAAGCGCGAGTGGGGGGAGGTCAAGGAGCACTCAAACTAGTTCAACATGCATTTACAGAATTGACCATCGGGGAATGGCGGACTGCAGAGACGGAGGGCCGTCGCATTTGCGTACCCTCCTGAACAGGCAACGCTGTATGCTGCGCCGGCACCGGGCGAGCTAGCGCGCGGGCGGGGCTTGATTGTGGCAGGTACGTCGAATTCTTGCCCTGCGGCGAGGTTGGTGTTGGTGCAAGCGTTGGGCGTGAAACTCCTCTTCGTAACCGATCCACGGCGACATGGGGGGAGTGTCGAAGGACATACGACAACCTACGTAAGAAAGGTCTACACAACGAAACAACACGTCCATATGGTACCAACAAGGTTCGCTGCCTCTGCTTGCTCCTTCCGCGTCAACATGCATCCTGGCAGAGACTTCAATCCTTCCGCGAGGCTTGTGTATCTGCACCAGCATCTCCTCGACGGCCTACAAACACAAAAAAAGAAAACTTCTTCCTATCCCCGTCACAAAGAACACCGCTGCAGTTGCCACGTCCCATACAAAGGCGCTAACCCCAAGGCCTATGAAGTTACTGCTGGGGAAAGTGCGGTACCTGCGGCGTGAACATCTCTATCCATTTCGAGCACTCCCCCAAGAGCTTGTCCATCAGTCCCGACAACTCGCACCCCCCATCTACCGCAGGGCCATCATCGTCCGAATCTCCCCCCCCGCCGTCCGTCGCGGGGCCCCCGAAAAACACGCCTCCTAGACCCAGCCGCCCCAAGGCCCAAGCAGTGCGGCAAAGCTCCTGCGCGGAGCCGAATGGAAGTATAAAGAGAGAGGACGGCAGCGCTGGGCTGCGTGAGTGCGTTATGGGCTTGGGAGGGTGGCGTGATAGACATGTCCGGAGAGGCCCCCTTTCCTCTACCGGGATAGAATCGTCATCGACTCAAAGCCGACACAAGATGAATAAGAACGGAATAAGGGGGACGCTTGGTGCGGTGCGCCAGCATCAATAATGAGCACCGGAGTTCGCGCAGCTGAACAAATTGATGGGGTCCCACACGGAACGCGTGGGGGGTGGGGCATGTCGCTCCTCAGCTGGGAGAAGGGGGGGTCGTGGCACACACTTATCACCGCAGACTCGCGGACTGCTCTCTTGTGCCTTCGAAACTCTCTCGACGACTTCTTACACACCCTGAGAAATCTCAACACAGCCTCGTCGGTGAACTCTACTTCACCCTGGGCGAGAAGCTGAGCAGCTTGGGTCCCATGTCTGCCGCGACAGCCTCGAGGCACTCCCGGTCGAAGCCGTCGGCAAACGCCGCCTCCGTCTTGACCAAACCCCACAAGAGGTTCGCTGATGCGGACGGGCTGAGCGAGGTGAGGTCGTCCTTCGTTAAGTCGAACTGGCGCTGTTGCGATGCGAAAATTCGTAGGGAGAATAGGCGTGTGATCGCAAATACCACTCACTCTGTTTGGGGAAGTAGATAGAGACCTTTACGTGGTGTTCGGGCATGCATCCGAATGGCTCGAATATTAGTGAACGGGGTGGTAGCTGTTTGCAGCGCTTTCGTGCTTCATCCAACTAGCATCTGCAGGAAGGCCTGCGAGAGCGTGTAGAGAGAGCCCCCCCCTATCCGACGGCAGTCTAACGCATCAGGGCTATGTATTTTCATACCTTGAGTGACACCGTGTACCCGAGGGCACCAAGAGCCCAGAGCGCGCTCGCCGCTTCCTCCACGGTAAACTCGTCCAGCCTCCTCTCCACCACGCTCAGCTGAGACCCCACCGCGTCACGCAGCAAAGCAACCAACCACCCAAGGCCGTCGTCCGTCGATACATGCGGCGGAATTGCAAGCGAGTAGCGTGAGAGAGCGGGTTGGGCGAAGCGCCGACTGGAGGGAAGTGCAAGTGAAAGCCGGGGGAACGCCAAGAATGGGTGGGGGACCGACTCACGTACCACGCAACGGGCCGACTCGTGTGTATACATAGCGCAACGCAAGACGCGTCATGCAGAGCTACAAATCCGCATCAGCTTAGCACCAGAAAAAAAACAATCTCTACAGATGTGCCTGTGCATTACGTTCGTCTCCGCCCCCCGGTCTTTCATACTCTACAGATGTGCCTATTACGCATACGTTCATGCAGTCCCCCAACCCCCGTGCCCTTCACAACCCACCCACCACGCGTTCCATGAGCTCCGCGGAAGGATGCCCCATCTTGGCGTATGCCCACACCAGCTTCGATACCGACGAAGGCGGAAGCTCCGGCACCTGGCGTGTGCATGCATGCGCGGGACGACTTGGGCGGGCGTACATGCCGCCGCATAACTGAAAGCTCGATGAACAAGGGGCGAAGAAAAAAAAAACGCGCCGCTCCTCTCTGCAGCGAGCCCCATGCGAGCAGTGCTCAGAAGCATGAAAAAAAAATGGAGGGGGCCGCCAGCGCCATACAACAAACGTTGAGAGCGAGACGCCAGCCGCATCAGCAATAGACACGATTTTATTTTTGTTACCTCCCTTCGGTGATTCTGTGTTATTGTTTTCTATATTTTTCCGTTCGTGCCCCGTTCCCTCTCGGTCAGATGTACGTCACAACCAGGCAATAAACTTCCGGCTGTCTCCAAACCTACAGGCATGAGACCCCGCGCACCCCAACGAAATTCACCGGCAAAAGCCCAGAGAATCAACAATATCCTCCTTCACCCAAAGCCTGTGGTCCTTCTCTCTCGGGCAACCCTACCCCCTTTCTCCTCGACGTTATAACAAGCAACCCAACCTCCAACCTCAGCAGCGACCCACGATTCCCAAGCAATGATGGCGAGTTGCGGGACAAACCAAGAATGCGTACATCTAGCATTTTGTTCTTTGCCTCGCCTTGTTGACGAGGTCCCTGGCCATCGCCTCGCACAAGCTGTGCGCCGGGTGGCCCAACGTCGCGAACGACCAGAGCACGTCGCACGCCGTCGCCGCGTCCAGGCCCCCCTCCCTGCCGGCGGCGGAGACCCCCCCTGCCCCCCCTCCTCCTCCCATCCCCCGAGCCCCCTCCGTCTCGAAGCCCTCCGCCAGGGCACCCACGAGGCCGGCGAGCTCCTGAGCCGGAGAGTCGGCCTTGCCCACCAGAGTGGCGAACGCCCAGAGAACCTGATGCCGGTCATGGGGGGGCAGTTTTTTTGGCTGTGTGAAGTGAAGAAGGAGGCGCTAAAGCGGTGGGGGCGCGGTTCGGTACAAACCGAGAGCGTGGAGGAGCGTACCATGCGCGCGCTCCCTAGCTCAACGGGGATATGCAGACTACGCGTTGAAAAAATAGTCAAAGAGCCGGAGGGGGACAAACCAAAACAAAAGTCACACCAACAAGCGAGAAAGGCAGCAACAACAACAATAACAACTTTACAACTGGTGTTAAATACACGAACAACCCCGCCTCCTCGCCTCCGCTGCCGCCTTGCCTGGGCTAGCTCTTCGGCTGTGTACTCCTTGGGGTGCTGCCCGGCCTCTGACAACGATCTCGCCACGAAAACATCGGACCCCGGGAGCTTGACCGACCCACGCCCGTTCCACGCCCCCAGCGCCCAGCACAGCCTCGACAGCTGCCTAGGCTGGAAGTGCTGGAAGCTGGTGGGTTCCGGCGTCACACACCCAGGGGAAAAGCAATTCGGGACAAAAGATACGACAGACGCCGACGTAAAGAGCGGGGCAACGAGGAATCAGTTGCGCGGGGCAGGCTCCAAAAGACAGCACAGGATACTCAATCCCCCGACCACACACACGAGTCAAAAACCACCTCCAAATGCCACGCGAAAAAACAGAGCGAGACGAGCTAAAAAACAACCGGAGCCACCCCCTCCCCCCTCCACGCCATACCTATCAGTCGCCCGCGCCAACACCGCCTCCCCCAGCCTCTGCTCCATCGAAGCCTCTTCCTTCTTCCCTCCGGGAACCAGGTCCGCGAGGGTTTCCACCGAGGTGGCGTTATCGTCAGCAGAATCACTGGACGCCTCCCCGCTATCCGAGCCTTCCTCTGATAATCCCTCGCCGCAGTCCTCCTGCTCCACCTCTTCCCCGTCCCCCTCCGGGCCGCCACCCCGCTCCCACCTCGACTTCACCCACCCCAGCCCCCACGCGCCACCGCCGCCGCCATCGGCGTCTCCGCCGCCGCCGCTCGCTCCCCCGCTCTCGCCCCACGCCGAGGCCTCGGCCTCCTCCCCGGCCTTGGCCTCCTTGCCCGCTCCTCCACCGCTACCAGAGTCCTCGGATGCCGCCGACGCCACCGGATCTACCGGCAGGGCAGGGTTACGGGGAGACGTGCACTCATGCAGACGTAGTCGGTAGACCATCGACCTCTACAATGCCGGGGCGGGGGAGCGATACGTATGCCGGATTTTCGCGGCAAGGCCCAGGCTACGTTTGACGCGGACGATTCAGAATTCAGAACCCTACGTAGCGGTGTGTGGGTGATTTGTTTCGCTTTTCAGACAACGGCGAGGACAGGCGGGGGTAAGGACGGGGGAGAAGGATCCCGATTGTACCCCACCGGTCGTATCACGTCTTCACTCCGGAGTTGGGAGAGGCGTGTGCGGAGATTCACATGGTGGCCATTAATGCACTCGGACAGAGAGGGGGTACTAAAAAAGCGCTGGGAAAAACGGCAACAACGACCTCTGCTTCGCTGACGAGAGGGTCGAAAGACACTGTTGTCTGATGAAATATATGCTACGCTCCCGGCCCAGAAAAGCCTAACCGAACGTTGAAACTTTGTATACCCTCGGTCTGCCACTTCCTTTGAAGCACGAATGGAAGTATCGCATCGCTGCTCATGGAAGCAAACTCAGGCACCCACAAAAAATAAGAGCTGTTGGAAAAGAACCAATAATCCCCCACCCCCCCCCCCCGTGTTTGCCATCGGGGTTGGGTTTTC